TGCTCTTGCTGCTTGTAAGATTCTCGCTTTGTCTTTTGCTCTTGGCATTTTAATGATGTGTCTTGGTGTGGTCCTCTTTGGATTCCTTTTGATTGGGGTTCTCTGTGCTTCCTGGACCTGTAAGTCTATTTCTTTCACCAGGTGGGGGAAGTTTTCTGTCATTATTTCCTCAAATAGGTTTTCAATATCTTGCTCTCTCCCATCTTCTGGCACCCCTATAATTCTGATGTTGGTATGGTTGAAGCTGTCCCAGAGGCTCCTTACACCATCTTCGTATTTTCGGATTATTTTTTCATTTTGCTTTTCCAGTTGGGTGTTTTTTGCTTCTTCATATTTCAAATCTTTGACTTGATTTTTGCGTTCCTCTGGTCTGCTGTTGGGAGTCTGTATAATATTCTTTATTTCAGTCGGTGTGTGCTTAATTTCTAGTTGGTTCTTTATCACAACATTGAGGGTCTCATTAGATTTCTTGAGGATCTCATTAAGTTTATCAGCGGCTTCTACACAGTTCTTGAGAGACCTTAAAAGTGTGGTTCTGAACTCTATATCCTCCATGGACAATTTTGTCCTGTTTCTTTGTCTCCGCATTTTTTATGCTTTCTTGGTGCACCCCCTAGTGGTCTTTGTGCGCTGTCTTGTTGTAGTTAAGCCTTGATTGTTGTCGTTGATACTGGGGGGATTTGACCTCCAGGCCAGTTGGCTGTGAGAATCAGCTGTGTCTGCCAAAATAAATTTTTAAACAACTATTTCTGTGGCATATTATTGACAACTGCAATGTTAATTTATAAGAATAATACATGTACATTATGTTGTGAAATTTCCCTGCTATATAATTAATAAATATCTATTAATACATTAGTATATACTATATATAAACTATACATATATACCATATATTTATAATATAAATAAATTAGTAGATACTCTATCTTTGGAGATTTCTTAATAGATTTTAGCTGAATACTGAATGACTATATATGAGAACCTTAAGGTGATAATCACAATGAAGAGAATAAAGAAATCTTCACTAGTGAAATATGACTATAATGGTAATTTTATTGGTGAGTGATATTTCACAAGGAAATAAAATGCTAAAATAGTAATGTGCTTTTCTCCTCTCTTAAGTGAATGTTTGTTTTTTTTTTCAGGGCCTTCCTGGGGAACAAGGAGAAAAAGGAAATTCAGTGTTCATTTTAGGTATTAGATAAGACTAGCTCTAGGTTGCTCCTACTAAACCCTGAGTTTCATGCCACCAGAGTGGGCACACCTGAGTGGGATCCCTTTAGTGAGCTCACAGTGTTTGTGTGTGGCCTCTATGCCTATTTATACTTGTTAGACAATAAAAACTATGCTTTTGTTTATGCTTAAACACCCTAGTTAACCTATAATTAAGCAATTCTACTATACCCAAAAGAAATGAAAGCAGGGATTCAAAGAGCAGATATTTGTATACCCAAGTTCATAGGATCACTATTCACAATAGGCAAAAGATGCAAGCAACCCAAGTGTCCACTGAGGAATGAGTGGATAAACAGAAAGTGGTATATACATACAATGGAATATTGCTCAGTCTTTAAAGAGAAGAGTATCCTGACTCATGTTACAACATAGATGAACCCTGAGGTCATTATGCTGAGTGAAATGAGCGGGTCACAGGACAAATAATGTGATTCCATTTATATGAGGTTCTTAGAGTACTCAGATTCATAGAGACAGGACAAAGAAAGGTTTTTGCTAGAGGCCGGGGGAGGGGGATGGGGAGTTAGTATTTATTGTAAACTGGAAACAGTTTACATTGGGAAGATGGCGAAGCTCTGGAGATGGATGGTCGTGATGGCTGCACAACAATGTGAATGCTCTTAATGTCACAGGACTGTCCCCTTAAAAATCGTTAAAATGTAAACTTTTATCTAACGTATATTTTACAGTATGTTATAGTTTACATTTGAAAAAGAACCTGCAGTCCCTTTGATTCTTTAGAGTAAGTGGCGTCTCAGGGCAGAGTCACAAGTGGTGGATTCGCACAGAGGCAGCGGGGAGAGAAGTTCCACACCATTCCCTTTACATTTACTCTAGGATGACCAACGGAGCAGGGTGTCTATAAAGGGAGGCAGGGTCTGGCACGTGGACCAGAGACAGACTGTGATGAAACGGGACCACTGGGTTTAGAACAGTGGTTCTCAACCTTGGCTACACATTAGAATCACCTGGGAATCTTTTTGAAATCCTGATTTCTGGGCCTCATCCTCCGGAAATTCTGTTTCTTTGTTACTAATGTTGTGGCCCCACCCCATAACAGGTTGAGAACCACTGGTTTAGAACATTTTAAATTGAAAGTTGAAACCTCATCTTAATTCCACGTGCTCAGGACCCCAGCACCTGCCTCTGGTTTCAGCTGAGTAGAAGCAGGACTCAGGCCTAAGAATAGAGGCCCATGATCATCTCCACAGAGCCCTCCCTCCACAGTTGTCTTCTCAACCTGGAAAAACTGAACAGGCTGCACGTTAGGTCAAACGATTCCTGTGTGTGTGTCTACTTTTACATCACGTGTTTTAGGAAATGGTGTTGCTCTTTTAAAGCAATGTGTCATTATTGCAGGGTGACAGAGGGAACCCAGGACCACCCGGCTTACCAGTAAGTCTGAGCAGGCATGTGCTTTTGTGTGATCCCAAAGAGCCTCCTGTCCCCACAGTTTGTATGTGTCACAGCAGGACCAGCCGAAAAATGTGCGGGACCCCCCAGTGCAAAATGAACACGTAGGCCCCTTGTTAAAAAGTATGAAGAATTTCAAGGTGGTGAGAGCAGAGCATGAAGTCAAGCACAAAACCCCATTTGACCGCACAGGTCACACACCTTGAGACTGTCCTGGAACCTTGGCAAGCTTCCAATTACCTTCCTCTTCTATGTTTCAACAATCATTTGCTATTGCTGATACATAGACAGTCAGTGATATTTAGAAGAGAAGTCTGCCCAGACACTAATATATGTCAGGTGGGAAGACTGCTGAATCAGTCATTGTGTATCATATTTAAAATTTAAGACCATTTTCATCTCCCTGAAATTTAAAATTCAATCATTATCTTAGTCTTTCCAATTTATCAATGTTTACAAGATTACAACTTAAATCAATTTCCACCTTCCAGTTGTTAACCTATAATTTTGCTTGGTGACTTCTGGCTGTGGACAGGAGTACTTACCCAGGTTGATTTCCTTCCTACTTCTGAAGCTTGGTTCTACGTCATTAATGAGATACCTGATGTTGCTGTTAAAATAAAAACAAATTCATCCCCTGAAGAGAACAATTTCACTGTACACTTGCACATCATTTGGCCTGGGCAGGGTCAGTGGGAGAGCAGAGCGCCTTTCTCCACAGCTGTCCTCGTGAATCTCTGTAATTATGCCACAACTTACAGGTTACAGGAAGTTGACTTATGACTTAACCATCATGACCTCAAACTGGGGACAGTATTTCTATTCACATTGATCTGAAAGGGCACGCTGAAAAATATATTAAAGAATATAAATACATTCATATTTTTATATATTAATGCAAATTAATATTAAAAACTAAAAAGTGTCCTGTTATGTATCAAAGTTATATACGGAATTTAGGAATGTAATTATGCCACAACTTACAGGTTACAGGAAGCTGACTTATGGCTTAACCATCGTGATCTCAAACTGGGGACAGCATTTCTATTCACACTGATCTGAAAGGGCACGCTGAAAAATATATTAAGTAACATAAATACATTCATATTTTTATATATTAATGCTAATTAATATTAAAAACTAAAAAGCATCCTGTTGTGTATCAAAGTTACATATGGAGTAGCTATAACAAGTTTCTTTGTTCTCTACCTATGCTATTACAAAATTTATCTGTAAGTAAGTAGATTGGTTTCTGGTGTTTAATTTGAGCCTAACATAGGAATTTGTCACATCTGCCGAAGCGATTGGCCCACGCAGCTCTGTGCCCTACATCCCAGGCAGAGCTGCTAGGAAGATAGCTGC